GTGAGTTGACTTAGCTACTACACTTCCTCTAGAAAATTGGGTTTCTAGTTCAACCTCCTTTGCAATTGTTCTGTGATAACCAAACAACTATCTATATCGCTGTCAATCCAATGTTTCACGAGAGAACTAAATATATTGAAGTTGATTGTCATTTTATTAGAGACAATATAGTAGTTGGAGAGATTACGACTCCATTTGTAAAATTTGAAGATCAACTTGCAGATATGTTTATCAAAGCATTGAGTCGTACACGTCTTACAACAATTTGTTTCAAGCTTTGATTATATAATATATATAGTCTAACTTGAGGGAGAGTGTTAAGAGTATTAGGGTAGTATGTGTAGTTTGTTAATAGTGTTAGAGTATTATGTGTAAATATAAGAGAGTGTATGTGTAATTCTTATTATTATGAATTAACTATAAATACAAGTAATTTTGTGAGAGTAAGTTAAGTTTTGACCACTCTCCCTCTTTCTCTAATATTATGTTAATTCTCTAAATTTAACATAATTAATCCAAACTTTTTTAATCTCAAAATAGATGATAGTTAATTCCAGATGCACATTGATATATATTAACACCTTTCAGTGGATAAATTAATATTTTTAAATTTTGAGGGTGTAAATTAAAATTCGAATGATCTTTTGGGGTGCAAGTTGAGATTAACCCTATTATGTAATTAATTAGAGAAAATTTAAGAAAGATTGATCAAGGTAATTTGTTATTTTATTAAGATTATTATAGTAAATCAAAAAAATTTCATATTTATTGTCATTTTATATTAGTATAGATATAGATATGAAGAAAAAAAATTAAGGGAATGTGTTGTTTGAGGATTAAATGGTATTATAGGGTGGCATAGAAGGAAATATTACCTAAGACCCACCTATTACCTTGTTTGTTTGACATTTTATACGTAGTATTATTTTTCAGATTGTAATACCGACCCGATTTGCACAATGTCCATTAAACCTTGTATTTGATATAAATGAATACTACCTATCCGGTGGTATTATCTTCATAGTATAAATGACAGGACGGTACAAAAGAAAAAATGACACAAATGCCCTCCTCTATTAAGAGTTCACATATAAAAAATTTTATTTTGAATTTTTTCCTTATATTATGTTTAAACGTATGGTGTCATCGGTTTTTTTTTTTTTAAAAATTATTTTCTTATATTATGTTTAAACATACGGTATTTATCGATTTTTTTTTTAATTTTAAAAAAAAAAAATTTTGAATTTTTTCCTTATATTATGTTTAAGCGTTTAGTATTATCGATTTTTTTTAATTTTAAAAAAATTATTTTAAAATTATTTTCTTATATTATGTTTAAGTGTACGGTGTCACCGATTCATAACATCAAATTCTTTATTTTTATGTGAATTTTTTACATTATATGAAATTTTTTGGGTATAGATTGTTATATGATGTATTATACCAAATATTATGCAAAAGTGTTACACAAACAGAGTAATGGAATGAATGATGTTAAGGGTAAAATGATATATTTGTTATATAAGATGTGATAGAATAGATGGTTGTTTGTGAAAGTCACTCTAGTACCTATTGAACAAACAAACATGGAAGGAGATTGAAATTCTTTCTATTATTGGTACTAATCTTCATTAGTATTAGAAATGTAAAAAATACATTTTCAATACCACCCATATTTAATACCCAAACAAACATGCCCTAATAGTGCAGTTTCAAATGATTTTAGCTCGGATGTAACTTACTATCTATAATCTAAAACAGAGTAGGCATCAATAAGTTTATCTGACAATTTCAGATAGACTTATTCAACGGGTGCCAACATCCTTATCAAAATTATTCATATTATACCAGACCTTAAAACACGAATTACCCCTAATTTATTAATAAAAAAGAATGAAGTATTACTAATGATTTCACCTCTCTTTTCAATTTAGAATATCAAGATGAGACTTTATGGGTTTTTCACTCCATCCACCATCAGTCAAGATATTTGAGTTTGATTCTTGCTTAGTGATCCACTGCCATAATTAATACTTATAATTTACAATAATAGGTATTAGATGTTGACTTTACATGTCTAAATGTAATAGAATCTTTATCTTAAATCAATTTCACCTTATCAAGAAAATGTCACAGGTCACGGTGATTGACATTGACCCAATATAAATTCCAATTCACCTAATAGGACTTTTGTTTGATAACGTAATTGTAAAGGAACCACGTCCCCACCAACCATCAATCTGTAGAAGTTAACATTAATTATGTGGTGTAGATAGAATAGGTGTTGAAAATCTTTTGAAGTGGCTCGGTTGTTGAATTTTACCTCTAATAATTCAAAAATTTTAGATTCTAGATTTTTTATAAGAACTAGTTACTCTTATTCATCATCAGATATGTTCTAAATCTTATCAGACTACAGCTATCAATGATGATATATAAAAGGGTCTTATGCAAGATCAACAGTCGATTATATAATAAAGTGTAATTAATTGACTATTAATAGAGCAATTAATGACAGTAATGCAAATATCGAGTCAACACGTAGATATACAATAGTTCGATCCGAATAATCTATTCTACTCCAAGAAACGACAACGGTAGCTGGGGAACCTTTTATTGATTAAGTAAGGTGAACGAGAGAGAGAGAGAGCAATAATTAGCCCCAAGAGTGATACAATAGATAGGAGAAAGAAAAGTTATGTGTGGGGTGTGTAGAGGTGTAGAAATGTTTCTCTCAATAAAGAGAACTTACAATTTATAGGCATAAAGCCCTTAGGTGAGGCGGTGACGTAAGGGCAAAGGACCTACCTTTTCGAGGAGGATAACTACAAAAGGTAAGTACAATTAAAGGGTGTTTTAATCTTCGAGAGTGAGTATTCTGATAATTGTTTTCCACGTGCTCTAATCCTTCTAGACTCCTTGAACTCTAGACTGGACTAAATTCATGAATTGGGTTTGACCCGTCGTGTAACTGATTTGGGCTAACTTGATTTATTGGACTTAAGCCGGTTGAATTTAGGTTCATCAATCAATATTCGAGTTCGCTCAAACCTTTAATAAAAATAAAAATGGTGTTGAGGTGCCTTTAGAGAGGGACCATTCCAAGTGTGGATACCTAGTCTAAAACTACCTAACCAGTTTGCCTAAAAAATTTGGCATGGGGTTGGGCGGGATTTGATAAAAAAATGCTAGCTACCAAACTCATCATCTTCGTCAAAGAAATGTATTTTATCCTTTCAGATTCTATATGCAATCATATCATTGTCCATTATATACAAGTTGGTAAATAATTTCTAAAGCAACCCCCAATCTCCATCATTGGGGTTTTATGGGTAGATATATTAAGGATATAAGTTCGACTCTAATAAGAGATGTCTTGATTGATTCAATATCATATTTAATTTACAGGTGATTGTGTTTATTATGAATTTATATTGAAGTTATAAATTCATGATTAATGTCCGAATTTATATTAAAGTCAAAAATCTAAAATACATGATTTTAAAATAGAATAAAGAAAAAAAGCTCTTACCCCATGTCTTATTGATTTGGGTTTGTTTCTTTGTAATAGAATTTTCTATGTTTCTCCGTCGCAGACATTGAAGCTTTACCCACGTATTGCCACATCAAAAGAGAGTGAAAGGCACTCAACCTTAATGATGGAGCCAATATGATTGAGTGATGGCTACCTCATTGAAAAAGATGGCATGTTTTTCTATGTCAAAACTTCATATTTGCTCAAAACATCAACCATGTCAGGCAATTCATCGAAGACTGTTATTCAACCCCTAAATTGTGAAGATGGGAGCTTTATGTGGGTGTTTTTTTTTTATGCTTTGAAGATGTTTGGTGAAATTTCTAACCCAAATGTTGTAAGCTTCCATCTTTGTTGCATACTATGATATGATCGTGTGGAAGTTATATTGTAAATGTTGAGGATGTGTTTGAATTGCATATGAAAAAATAGTATTCAAAAACATATTTTTAGAAAGAATTTTTAAAAATGTGCTTTGATGTTTTTCAAAAAAAAAAAAACCAGTATTACAATAAAACCTGAACGAATGAAATAAGAGATTGATCATTGCCTTTAATAGAGATTCACTTCTGCTCTTCTAATTAGGAGTAGGACTGATCGACTGTGGACTAAGCCTAGTTGGTTGTTTAATGGACATTTAGTTAAATGAGATGACGGGTGGATTGTGCTGGAGTTTGTTTTGTAATATGGGTCGGGTACTTGTAACCCATGGTTCATGAAAAACCCACATGGGCTGTTCAGATGTTTCACTCACTCTCCAACTCTTTTATGACCCGAGTTCATTGGGCTATTTCAGCCCTTCGGTCGGCCTACTCTCTGATCCTCCAGCTGCCGGCTCGCTTTCACAGCAGTCCAAAAGCTTGTGCTCATACTTGCCCGGTCTTTAGTTACTGATCTTCCTGGTAATCAGAAACACCCTGGCTGCACCTGCTGCTCAATGAACACACCAATGTTTTTTAACCATCCATGTATGAGTTCAATACGATACCACAGCTACCATATTACACGCCAGTCCACCAGTGAAAGCTTCCAACAATCAACGACTTTCTCATATCCAAATATGAACTTTACGAGCATGTTCTTTGTCACCTCCCACAGCTTTTACGGCTCTATAACCCAACCCAACCCAACTTCAGGGGCATTGTAAGAGCCCAGTTCTTCAAATCAGTCAATGGCTCCTTTTGTGTTCTGCTCCATTTTTTTCCCTTTTAGTTGTAAGCTCAAAGATTCCATCCCATCTATGAATCAGAAGCAAAATTAGGCAGAATAAGGGTAGTTTAGTCTTAAATTGTAAGTTTGTTGTGGCATTGGAGGCAATGAAGCCAATGAACACCATATTCTGATTAGTGAAGTTGAATTAAAGCTTGTACAGGCCAGAGGTTAAACAGAACCTTTTACATGAGTCAACCATATGATATAATATTTTAATGAGATTATTTAAATATTATGACAGAACTTTATGATTCTAATGAACACTGCTAGATTATTCAAAATGTAGACTAAATAGCAGGACAGGTAGTTTACATTTGCAACAAAGAACTACATAACATAGATTCATATATATCTGAAAATCTGGATACAAAAACAAGAAATGAAATAAATATAAGGGAAAAAAAACTTGTAACAACGCTCTAGATCATGCCTTCTGAACTGAAAAACCAAGGATAAAGTCCTTGATTTCATCACTAGCCGCCCTATCAAGTGCGGTCCGTCCATCTGCATCCTTGACACTGTAATCAGCTCCAGCTCTCAGCAACTCTTCAAGTTTTGGCTTGTCACCTTCTGATGCAGCCATCATCAATAAGATGTCTACTGGGTGAATGTTTAGGCTTAAAAGAGCCTCCATCTTATCGTATGAACCCTCAACAGCAAGCATACCCATGTAGTTGAAATACTGTGAAGAGTAACAAATATTCAGTCATAAGCCCTCCCCTGAATCGTGACAGATAACTCGTGAAATGAAACTGAAATATTATCTGTGATCTTCATGCATTGTAGGAACCAAAAGCAGTGATCTAAAATAATGATATTACAAGCATGGGGGAAGTCAATTAATTGTCTCAAGGGGATCTTTGGTGGAAAGTAAGGTCACCACTGTCCTGTCCAACAAAATCACATTCCATTCTCATTGAAGAGAAAAATCAGTATACTGACTGTTTGGGATCAAAACCTGTTGTACGTTGCTGGGTAATTGAGTTCACAAAAGCAAGATTGCAGTTCCCCATTTGTTCCATGTAGTTACGCCCCCACATGATTTCACAGTTTCCTTGATAAGATCAATCAGGTTTTATTCTAGGGTTTGTCTGAACTCCAAGGCATAAATACACCCATTATAACAACAACAAAAAAAAAAAGACAGTGAAACCGAAAAAGTTTGGAGGGCTATACAGCCAGAAAATTAACAACACCATCTCACGAACAAGGAGGTGATGACCAAAACTCTTATGGGGACCTCTCACTGGAAGGAGATCTTCATGGGTCCAAACACACAGTATGAAATACAAAGCCATCTGCTTCAGGCCAGTTCTTTAGGTGATATTAATATATTATGGTGAGAGACTGAGAGGTTGGGACATTATCAGAAAGGGCTGAGACATCACTGAAGATGGTAGATAACATCATTTTCTGGTAGGTACAGGCCTTGGTTTCGACCAATCAGAACTCTCGTCCAAGGCTTACTTAATATGAATTTGATTTTAAATCTGACTGCTGCATCCATGGAAATCAAAAGTTTAATCTCTTGATTCCTGCTCATGGACCTCTCCAACTCCATTCAACTTTTAATCCAAGAACTCCTTTTGAACTGCATACTGATCCCCCCAAAAAGTAACAAGCTTAGCTTGGACCGAATCCACTAGAGAAAGGTTGTGCCATGTTTGCCCCTCATTTTCAACCATTCATTCGAAATTGCTTCAGAAAGTCAGCTCCTTCTTCAAGTTATTCATTTCTTCTGGCTGGCTAGACATAAGAATCCCTACAAAAGACCTACTTTTACTTAAAAATATCATACTGAAAACTTTGTCTGCAGTGCAAGAGCATACCAGAAACCTCCATCTCCTCCAAGATTGCCCAAAAGCAAAAGAGACACAGGACCAGTTTAACAATCTCAGTGAACTGCACACAATAATCCCCATTGTTGGCTTTCAAAAGAACTGGCAACCTGCCTATATTTGTCTAAGTCTGGCTTGTCATTTTCCCTTTACCTACCTGATGCGCCATTTAGCCATCCTGCAAAACAATGTTTTTAGCCCACCCTTGCAGGCAACAACACAAACATACATTAGCAAGCATACTTCAGCGCCCCAAACCTATCCAGTTTTTGGCACACCCTTGCATGCAACCACACAAATACAAACAAATTTTGCTAAAGCCAGTGTAGTGGACATTCTAACAACTCCCCCCCCCCCCCAACATTAAAAACAAAAAACCGGGTCTCCCCCAGCAAGCATATTTCGGCACCTAAAACCCCCACCTCCTTAGCAAGCACATTGCAGCAGCTCAAGCCTAGCCATAAGTTGTGTTGTGGTGATAGGAGAGTACATCACCAGGTACAATATACATGTTTAGAACTCAAACCCACCTAAAAAGGTAAGCCTAATATTGAGCCCCTTCATAGCATATACTGAGAGTTTATTACTCTTTTTTTCTTCTGGTATGGGATTCCCACACATGACATCACAACAGATAGAGTCCCACTAACTGAGGGTTTCCTCAAACTTAATATAAACAGCTCCTAGCAAACCAAACCAGAAGCTGCAGGCAGAGAGGACCTCACTTATAACTGCTTGCAGCAACTGCTTTCTAAATATGTATAGGGTACAAATTCAGTTTAGAGGCAGCGCTTTGGTCCTGAGTAGCATCTTGCAAATAGTTTGTGACACGAGCATAGGAGTTTGAGTTGGATATTAAAGCAAATGAGTTCATCACATGACAGAAACCAATGTCCAAGACGAAAGACACTATTTTGGCCCACTCTTCTTTGGTTTCAGGTCCTTTATTAAACATCTGAGTATAGAGCAGATTAAGAACATCTAAAAGAGATGCAAAATACTGACACTGGATGCACTGTCTCATCCGAATGTAATGCAAAGTGCAAACTTCAACCATCATTTATCATTCTATTCGGCTTGTACTAATCATCAGCTTAGGCAAATGCAAAAGAAGTGAAGTATTTGCAGTTTTGTACTACTGATTATGTCTTATGAACAAGAGATTCCCCCCCTCAGCCTCCAACCCACCTGCAAATACCCCCCAAAATGAGAGAAATTGAAGGCAAAATCATACAATCAAAGGTCAATATTTGGCAGTTTTTGGGCAACCAGTAGGTAGTAATCCTTGGGCATAATCACAGCACCACCAAAGCCAAGTAGTAAACCACATTACTCCTGTAGATCGAATACTGCTTGATAACCACACGGGAGTCAGGTACGGCTTACCAGACCACTAGCTCGGGTGGTCAATATTTGGCAGTTGAGGATATATGATCATGAGATTTTGCAAAGCATTCCAGCTTAGCAATTTTTGACAGTAAAACGAATAAGGCCATCCACCCATTTTGGACAATAATATTAGAAGGCAAAAAAATTGGGTCATTTCCTTGCCTAGCCAATAGTTATGATAAGACTGCATTATGTTTTTAGTCATACCTGGTGCTTAAGAAAGCAAAATAGTCTTTCATATTCAGGCTCAATACACAATTCCCCCAAGTAATGTTCAAGTTCAATTACAATAAAAGTTTATAGTTTATCACCAGGCTATGCAACCATTTCATCTTTATGATAGCAAAAGCACAGCAACGGGCAAGTACATACTACAAATAATGGCTACAAATTGTGGTCTAGATAAAGAAAAAGTACCTGTTCAACATCATCGCGGTCAAAATCATCACGTGTTTGGCTGCCATAAATGCCAGCTCCCTCAGCATCAACACCATTTTTACCGAATTTGAACCAGCATGTAGCTCTAGAACCAGAACTGGGTCCAAGTCTGGAGGGTCTGAACCATCCGAGCCGTTTACCACCCAGAAACTGAGAATTAAGATTGGACAAACATTGAGTCGACCCACATAAAGAGGATGGTGAAGTGTTGGGTTTTGAGGGGAAGGATAGTTGGATAGTACATGGAATTGAGGCCATCATTCAGTTTCAGTCTCGCCCAAAACACAACGGTTTTATCTTCAAACATGTGCTAGCGGTAAATTATACTATAAGGATTTAAATTGTTGTCTATTATAGCAACAAATCAAAGTGGCGCAGCGGAAGCGTGGTGGGCCCATAACCCACAGGTCCCAGGATCGAAACCTGGCTTTGATAGAACTTCAGAAGCACTCTTCTATGTCCACTCCTTTTTCCTTTCCTATTCCTGCAGTAGAATTTATGCCCCCCCCCCTCTCTCTCTCTCTCTCTCTCTCTCTCTCTCTCTAGCAAGCTCTGTGTCCAATCCTCTTTTGTTTTCTTTTTCCCATCTTTTGCTATTCCTGCTGCAGAATCTCTCTCTCTCTTGATTGTTTTGCATGATTGGTTGATCAGCATGGCAAGTTTTTTGGGTTTTTTTTCCTCTATTACTAATTTCTGGTTTGTAAGAGTATCAAGGTTGATTGCAACTAGTTAAGGAGTATAGACTCCCTTTTTCCCCAAAAAGAAACTGAAATAAAAAAGAATATATATAGATGAAAAAATAGAGATAATAGGATATCATACTCTACATCCAATGAACAAAGATGGGTTAATCTGCTCTCTTTTTACTTGTATATCCTGAACCAAAAAGCCAAATTGAAGACGTTGCTGCCTCCCAATAAAAATACAATCAATTGTTCAGCTTTAGTTAGGTCTATTAGCTTTGCCGACCTGCTCATGCTAGCAACATCTCAACAGTAATTGATGGAGACATTCATAACAACAACAGATGAATTTTGAACACTTAACCCCTTCTCTGCCATAAGATTCGATCCCAACAACTATGCTATAATTGGTTTAGACCTCGTCGAGTTTTTCTAGTTTTTAACAAGCATATAAAAGAGAGTAATGCTACTTAGACCAAATTAATTCCATTAAATTGTAATTTAACCTGTTTAAGTCATAACTTTTGATAACGCGGTCTTTTCTTTCCTTCAATCCACAGTTATTACATCAAACAGGCTCACCTTGGATTCACATGATATTTGAGGATCTCATCTTAAAGGACTATCAATATCACTACCGAAGGGGCCAGCAAACCTAAATCTCATCAATATAATATAATTTAATAGCACTCATATCAAGTTGTTCCACCAAAACAAAGTCCACCATTTCCTTGTCTTGCAATTGAAGCTAATGAAAAAAAAATAAAAGTTTTAATATGACATCGACTGGCATATAATGACTGTTATACCCCCCCAAATCAGAATTTTATCGGAGATTAGAGAAAAAAAAATTAGCAAAAAAGAAATTAGTATACAAGTAGTTAGAAGATGGTCCAGGAGCAGGGCAACATAAATGTTTTAACTGAATGCACATGAATATGGTGACCACCCAATCCTTCAACAATACTACGCTCTCTACTTTAGATAAAGAATATAAGGTAAAGAATTCATGTGAGAACACTGAGGATTAGGCCAACCCAAGATGTCCACAACTCTAAGCAATTCTCCCACCATGAGAAGACCCAAAACCACCTCTCTTCAACCGCAAGTCTCCACCTTCCCTCCTACCATACAAAACACTATGTATAAATCCAGCACCAATGCCACAACAATGCCTGAGAAAATGGGCACAAAAATTCCGATAGAGATAGGAACTAGGGGAACTATTGGATCCCTCATAATGCAAGAAATTGAGTACTTTAGCCAGCTAGAATTAGGCTGCCGGAATGCCTCAGAGAAATCGAGGTGTCAGGTCACAGGCAGAGCTTCCACTAGCAGTTATTCCAGGCCCAAGGTTGTGTCGTTGATCAGAACCCCCAAAAAGAAGAAAGGAGGCAGTAGGTTCATACCAAGAATGTGTTCTGTGGTAGAAGTGGCTGACAATCAACCAAATGTGATTTCTGGATTCAACTACAGAAATTTGAAAGCTGATGTGCAAAGGGTGCAGGTTTAGACAACACTCTCAGAGAGCTTAGAGAAACTGAGCTTCTTGAGTCGATTTGTTAAAGGGGTCACCCATGTCCTATCCTGATTCCTGCATTTTATGTCCACAACTTCAACTATGTTAGAACCCTTTTTGTCAGGTTTTCCTCTTATAGGAGTTCCATCTACTGAAATATTATCCGAGCCAAGCATTGGAATATGATGGGTTTTCGGATAGTGTTTTGTTTTGCGGACTTTTTCAGGGCTTTTATGATTAATGCTGTTGCTACCATTACTACTGCTTGCTTCATCCACTAATGTTCTATGCTTTAGTTTCTTGGGAGTAGTAGCACCACTAGGAGTCAAGCCCGACGCTGTAGGAGATTTATCTGTAGACGTACTAGATGTACATGTGGCAGATTTCATAGATCCCAGTTCCCTTGACATCAGGGCACTGATTGTCCCAGTGGTTCCCACTTTGATGGATCCCCCACCACCCTTGACAGCTTCAAGTGTCTGAACCATGTTCTTTCTTATCTCAGTGAAAGATCTAAGCCAAATTCTTCTGAAAGCAAGGTAGTTTCCTTGACCTCCACATCTGTTGCATAACTCAAAGCAATCGAAGACTCTGTTAGGCAGCAGCACTGAGCATATGAATTGTAAGATTGAGTCTGTTAGACAAAATTTAATCAAGTTGAATTTGTGTAAGTTTCTCTAGTATGTACAGTTTTCTTTAATCAAAATTCGTGATGCTGACAAGAACTAGGAAGCTAAAAGATTTAAGTTACACCCATAGAAGGTGCTCCATCCAATTGCATTATATGTTGTCAATTTAAGCACCGAGAGAGAGAGAGAGAGCACTTTGCAAACTAATAGATGTAGCAGGGTGAAAAACAGCATGCTTTGATTGGAATCAGAGGTGAAAGGTGAAACCTTAATACAACTAATAATGCCTTTAGACCCACAGAGCATGAAAAATAACTCTCTTTGACCGGGGATTGTCGTTAAATTCCACAATAATTACCAGACTGCCCAAAGGCCCCATAAAAGGGGAGAGTTTACAGTGGACTGATTGATGGAGTAAAAAAGCTCTAACGGAAAAAAAAAAACGCCTCTGTTGGCAGTCTCTTCACAAAACCAAATGTGAAAATACTATTATCAAAGATGGAACATGTTCAAAGAATCTTATATATTATGAGAGAGAGGAAGAAGGTAAAAAAAAAAAAAAAGGAATGAAGAAATTTGCTGCTATGGAGACTCGAATGGCAGACCTCATTAAAGTCCAAAATTGTTCTCCTTGTTTTCAAAATTTTCAAAAAATACTCTAAAAACAAGCTAAACATCTTTTCTTTTTCTTTGACTCAAATCTCATTTTTTTCTCAAAATTTTGAGAACAAAAATGCTAAATAAACAGGTTTTAGGTGATTTTGAAATTTTGAGAACAAAAAACAGTTTCCGGAAAGCTAACCAAACATGGCCTAGATTTTACACTAAACTAGTTTTTGGGTTGCATAAATCTGTGAGGGGACCAGGAAAAAATCAACTAAAAGTTTCTTTTTTAGCCACTAAATGCATAAAAATAAGAAAACTTACTGCAAAACAATAAAAGAAATTCACAAATGTGAATTTTACAATAACCACAAACTCAATCCGCAGGAAAGGTTTAACATCTTCAATAACCACTTAAATTTTTTGGCTATTGATCAGGATTACCATAAAATCTACTATTCTAAGCCAAGTATCCATCAGAGTTTCTGAGTTAAAATGCAGGTAATTCTGCTCATTGAACTAGAATAGATTAAATAGCAGTGAGTTGGTTGAAGTTCCTGATCAAATACCATCAAGAAACATTGAATGATTCTGTCCATTGCAGCAATGCTGTCCATTAAAACACAAGCTGTGTCTATTACCCTTCAACCGCCATTTTAGATGAATATACACGACCTAATATGGAACTAAATGTAGGGTACTTCCATAACACCTCCCCCCCCCCCTCCCCCAAAAAAAAAAAACCCACCAACAAACAGTAGAAAAAAATAGACACACAAAGAAAGAGCAGTGCTATACGAAACTAATTTTGGAGCTTAATCATGATCAAATTCATTACAACCATTGAATTAGTTATTAGTTCCAACGTTTTAATAGGTTATTGATTAGAAAAATAGCATTTTTCCATAAAACAAAATATTCTATAGTTCCAAAAAAATGGGGGGGGAAATAGGAAAAATGAAATCACTTCAAACAGAAGTTTGGCCACAAAACCAGTAAATCAAGACATGAACTTCGAATGCAATAATTTGGCAGATTCAAAGTCTAATGTCAAACAACACAGATCAGCATGATGAAAACCCTAATACCCATTTTATTGAACAAACTTATGTTCTTAACATTAAACGTAGATATCTTGCAAAACAGTTGTTCAATCCAGATTCTTTCCCAAAATGACGACAACCCATATGTTACATTAAATCAAACGCCTTAAAGAAACCCAATACTGAGCAAGAAAAAAATAAATAAAAAAAAAAAACAGTGAGATCTAAATTAAGAAGAAACCATAAAGATGGAATCGTATGTACCTACCTACAAAGCAGCCTCAGTGAACATTAATCGTAGATATCAACGAGTAGAAAGATGGGTCACATTGAAAGTGAAACCTCTTCCACACTAAACTGAAGTGAAGGATTTTTCTTCTTTTTTTTTTCTTGATATCAGAAATGAAGTGAAGTTGAAGAGAAGAAAACCCACCAACCAAGACCGTCAGTCTCTGCAACTACAATTAAACTGTGCTATTAAAGCCTCAAATGTCGGCTCTAAGCCAGATTATCTACGTAAGGCCAGCACCATCACTCATATTAAACGGCATGTCGAAACAGTCAAAGGAAACTTAAAGACAAGATGTGACATAAACCACGATTGTGGGATGGGATGGGTTGAGTGGTTGGGTTGGGTTGAGCCACCTTATAACTTTTTTGTCCTTGGTGTGGGCCCATCCCTTTTTGTTTTAATTAATTTATTAAAAGATATTTTTACCAAATGAACTCACAACTTCGTATCTAGTCAAAAATATTTTGATCAGCATTTGATGGGGACAAGAGAGCTGCTAACTCATTTGAAAAAATATTTTTTGATAAAAATTTTGGTATTTATAACATTTCTCTATTCAATTATTAATTTTATTCGACTATTCAATTATCCTAATTTTTTTTCCATTACTTCATTATATTGAATAAACTATGTAGATGACTATTAAATTATGATTCTTGTGTTAATTAAGTCTTTTAATTATTTTTGTGTCAATTGAGTCAAAACTCTCTAATTGTATCAATTGAACTCTTATGCTTGTCTCCATTACATTTTCTAGCGAAAATGAGTTGAAGTAAACTACACATATAACCATTAAACTATGATTTTTGTATCAATTAAACTAAATTTTTTTTTGTATCAATTGAACTCATAAACTATCTAATTGTGTCAATTGAGTCCTTCTATTTTTTTGTGTCATATGGTCACGTGAGTGACACACTCTAATGAAGACAGATAGAAAGACTCAATTAATATAATTAAAGAATTCAAGAATTTAATTGACACAAAAAAAAAATCAGATATTTAATTGACACAAGGATTATAATTTAATGATCATATATATTGTTTACCCTTATATATAACTGGCATTATTAGACTTAAAATTTTAATTTAATTGGCTATTATTTTGGCTCCAACCCTTTAATTTTGTCTTGATGAGCAACATCATAGAAATTTAATTTAGAGATCTAATTAAAAACCTAATTTATTATAGTTGTTAGATTAATTTTGAATTTTATTATTAGATTGAGCTCACTTTTAATTAAACAATTAGAATTTTATTGGCGTATCATTGGGTTAATAAGTGAGACTAAAATTTTAGATTTTCATTGGGTTAATATTCGTGCCCTATGCAAAGCACATTTTTTTTAATGTATGGATAGAGATAGTGTAATAAAAAATTTAAAATTTAAGTGAGTTTTGTGGTTAAAAAATTAAAATTTAAGTGAGTTACTATAGTTAAAAATTAAAATTTAGATAAATTTTCGTAGTTAAAAGTTTAATAATTAAAATTTAAATAAGTTATCGTGGTTAAAAGATTAAAAGAAATAAACCGTTGGATCGAAACGTTCTGGACCGTTGTTGTGTATTTTTTATTGAGGAGTTTAAGCAGCTCAAGTAAGAGGCTTTGCTTTATTAATAAAAATTTATTTTAAAATAAAGTAAGGTTTACTAATTCAAAAAAGTACATGTGTATTCCATAAAAAAATTAGGAAAAAATTTATTCACGCTCCCTCTAGTTATGTCTAAATTTAATGACACCTCCTTTCGATTCTGAAACTTTACTATATCCTCTTCTGTTTTATACTTTCAAATCAAAAACACCCCTTTAACGATAATTTTTAACTTTGCTCGTATAAAAAGTAATGATTTGATTATAAAATTTCTAAAAATGTCAAAACTAACTTTCTTTTTATAAATATACTAAAATACCCTCAACCTTTTTTCACTATATATACCATAACCTTTGTTGTTGTTGAAGGTCTAAAATGATTTGGTGTTGCCGGAAGACATAAAGGACTGAAGTTAGTCATTCTTTTTCAACTCGTTCTTCACAGTAATCAATCACTACCTAAGTTGGTAAAAAAAAATTTATTTTTTTTTGTAGATTTGCAAATGTTTTTCATACAGATTTTTTAATTTTTTTCTTGTAGAGATTTTTAAATTTTTCCGTGCAATTTTTCTTTTAATTTTGTTTATGCACATTTTTTAAATTTTTTCCTTCCATTTTGTTATGTCAATATGTTATGATGTATTATTGTAGGATTGATTTCTTCCTTAATTGTTGGTAGAGGCACATACACAGGGAATGAGGAGTTTGACATAAGCGTGATTTATATCATTATATTATCTCAACAAATTTTTATCAATTTAAAGCATTGCATGATAACTTTGTTATAATATTAGTAATTATATTACTACTCATTTGGTTACATAATCGAATTTTTATAGTTAAAAATATTTTTTCTATAATAAAAATTACAATCGATAAATTCTGTATCAAAATCTCATTCATTTCTAACTGTTTTGCTATCATCTGTCCTCCACAATGTCATTTGACCATTTTTTCACACATCACCCTTCATATATAAAATTTAAATATTATTTGATAAAATTTAATAATAATTGAATAAATTTGGTCTTAATTTGATAAATTTAAATATTAATTTGGTGTTAATTTGATATTTATATTTAGTGTTGATTTGATAAAATTTAATATTAATTGAATAAATTTAAATTCTACTTTTATGAAATTGAATGTTCATTTGGTGTTAAATTAAATAACTAACATTAATTTGATAAGGTTAAATATTAAATTAGATTAATTTAGTATTCTATTTAATATATTAAATTTTAATTTAATAAATTTAAATGTCAATTTGTTGTTGATTTGATGAAATTAAATAATAATTTAATGTTAAATTTAAGAAATAATATTAATTTGATGAAATAAAATGTTAAATTAATATAACTAAATGTTAATTTTAAAAAATTAAATATCAATTTGTGTTGATTTGATGAAATGGAATGTTAATTTAGTTTAAATTAAATAAATAAAATTTAAATTGATAAAATTAAATGTTAAATTGATGAACATAAACGTTAATATAATAAAACTAAAAGGGAGTGCATTGAAATTTCAGAGAGTGGATATTATTAAAAATAGGTCTATTTGTACAGGATGTAGTTGAAGTTATGTCTATTTACAAGGGATGTGGATAAAATTTATCCTATAAAATATTTAGAGATATTTCTGTAAATTAACAATTGTCGTTAATGTCATAACACAACAAACACTGACAAAGGGTAACAATGAAATTTCATAATCGAGAAGGGTGTCATTGAATTTAGACCTTATTAGAGAGGGTATGAATGAAATTTTTCCCAAAAATTATCACCCAACAAAGAAGGTGATAGGACAAAGTCTGACGATCACCAAGGAGTCAACACGTGTCTTCGGCATGAAAAACATGGGTGCTCCCTCGAGTGACATGTGTTCTCGACATGAGTGACTCTTGTCTTTGTCTACGAGTGATATGTGTCGTCGGCACTAAAGGTCCCTCGGAGCCCCTACGAGTGACACTTGTTCTCGGCACTAAAGACATCTTAGAGTCTTCATCATGCAACACCTGTCCTCGGCTCCCGAAGTTTTGCCGAGGAGATCTCCACCTGACACGGGTCCTCAGCGTGCCTAACGTCCCGAGGTTCATTTCTAAACATGTCACCTCGGCTACAAAACTCCAAGATATGAATGGCGGATTGACGATTATCGTTACTTAGAGTTAAAATTAGTCAATAATTATTGACTTATCTTTCCAAAGCAGTCAGCATGACAAAAAAAAATAGATCAACAGCCGAAAATAATGATACACAAAATTCAGAGCACAGAATTGGGGCCGTGGTTATATTCTAAGTTCACATTGATTCAGTATGCTTTTACATTATGGGCTATGGCTATTTGTGGTTTTAATTTTATGGGCTCTTCCCACTATCTATTGGCAAATAGCTGCAGTTGCACACCTGCTTTGCTTTTCTGGAACAAATGAAAATGAGAGGCAACTTCAGGTTTAGAATTTACTCGCGGGTGAGAATAGGGATTAAAGGCAGTCCCGTTAATGGGGTAGAGACTACTCCTCCTACCTCCGCCCTACAGCCCCGCCCCCGCCTTGGTCCATTGTCATTCTTAGAGGGAAGGATTCACATTTTATCGTTAAAAAGAGTCATGTTATTGCACTTTAACCTCTTAATAATTACAACTAAATATTTGTCAATTTCTAAAAACTTGTTAAATATCTTATTGAAGAAAATTTGTGGACTACGTCATTTTTTAGATCCCTGTAAGAGAAAATTCTGGTTTCCAGGTTTGATCATAAATATTTTCATTCATATTCTTTAGTATATGTTTGGATTTCATTAGTACATTTTTTTAAATAAAATTTTAATGTATATTATATACTATAAATTCATGTTGAACTTCCTATACATAGGTGAATCTCTGTCACTAAATGGTGTATGAGTGAAATTAATATATATAAAACAATCAAATTAGGTAGGAGGTGATTTGAGAAGTTCTCCCTCCCAAATTTTTTTTTCTTAAAATTTTTAATTATTTAATTATCACACATGATTTTAGCCAGTTCTATTCAAACACATGTTACATATAATTACTTCTCTGCCCCACATCACTCATTTAAAGTTTTAAAAAAAATAGTTACAAATTTAATTTTTTTTAAAACTTAGTTTCACCACCCAAACTTTTCATATTTATTTTATCACCCTAATTTTTCAAAAATTTCTACCTAATTTTTTGAATTGTATGATGACAATAAAAAAAAGGAAGAAGAAGAATGACCGGGAAGGAAGGATGTGCATCGCACAAGTTCGCTGCTGGTGTGTGTGTGTGTGTATATATATATATATATATTTATAATGGCTCCTAGTACTATTATTTAACCCGAAGGAAATTGAAAGTTTGAATCTTCGAATTTTCATTTTTAACCCAAAAAAAAAAAAGAAACTCTAAAATTTCAAGATTTTGATCTAATCACTTGACACAGCACAAAACGTGACACCCACACATGAATTAGAAGTCAGAATATGCCCAGAAAAGAAAGCTCT